AGAGATCAGGATGAGGGTAGGAGAAGCCCGGAATTGAAAAAGTGTGACAAAACCTGAGACTGGAAATAAATTCAATTGGACTGGAGATTGCAAAGCATCATTCCAATATAATTTCAATGTATAGCACTTGTCACTTTCTGATCATCTCGTTTGCTTGTTTGTCTGTTCATCCATCCCCATCTGCTCACACAGAACAGAAGCCCTAACCTGTTGATTCCTCAGTGCCAGGCACATACGACTGACTGCTAACCTTTACTGAGGGCCTGCATGGGTCAGATCCTCTAATAAGTACTCCCTCATGGCCACCCCAGCCTCCCTTCTGTCTCCCCCCAACACCAACCAGCAGACAAAATTTTACTTCTTCAGAGTTGGCTTAAATGCTCCCTTCTCTGTGAAACCTCCCCATCTCTTTACCCAACCCTTACTCTCAGAATTACTTCTTTCAGGGTTCCCACCACTTTGGTCTCTCCTTGCAGCATCAGTTTAATTCTGTTTTCTCCCCCCATTCTTCATTAAGTTTTAAATCATAGGAAGACAGTGATTTTTATTCGTCTCTGTAAACTTCTCAACACTTTAGACAGGATTTTATACAAAAAACGGGGCTCAAAAATGAATAAATTAATTAGGGAGAGAAAGTGGTGAATCCTTCTTCCCTTCCTGCAGTCCTGAGAGCAATCTTTTAAAACTTTAAGTCTGACATCACAGCTCTACTTAATCCTGTTGAAGTCCACTTTTCATCTCAGACTAGAATTCTACCTCCTAAGCACCCTGCTCACTCTAGGGCCCTATGTGAACTTGCTCCCACTCATCTCTCCAGTCGCGACCCTTTCTATGCCTCTTCTAATAAAACTTGACTGCTTATGGTGACTACACAACTGGCTGTACTGATTCATGTCACCAGGCTTTTATTTCAACTACTCCCTCTACTTGAAATGCCCTTTCCATTTTCCTTGCCAGCTCAGTTCAGGCATAACTTTCTCAAGCAAGTTTTCCCTCTTTTTTTTTTTTTTTAAAGCAGTCTTCATGCCCAGTGTGGAGCCCAACGCTGGGTTTGAACTCACAACCATGAGATTAAGACATATGCTGAGATCAGGAGCCAGATGCGGTTAACCCACTGAGTCACCCAGCCACCCCAAGTTTTCTTTCTTTGAATACAGATCCTATTAAAAAGGTACTAAGTACAGAAAAATTTATGGTGCTCCCCTCCATTTATGTGATTAAAAATGCAAACACTAAACCATGAAGTGTAATTTTAAATGACACACAGCTTATATGTATGCTAGATTTGGAATACTCTCTGTCTATAATTTTCTCTCATCCTCCCTCTCTCTGCTTATACCCAGTTTGTAGATACCCTAACAGTCTATCGGGTAACTCCATTGCCGGATTCTCAGGTTGGGTCCAATGCTCCTTTTCTCCACTCTCCAGGCACCGTTCTGAGAATAACTTGAGCAAATTGCACGTTTGCCTTTCGCACTATGGTGTTAGCTTCGGAGTTGGTGCAAACACCGTCTTTGGCCGTGGAGCGGGGGACCTCCAGTCACCTCCCTAGCCGACCGGTCCGTAACTTCTTTAAGGAGCCGTTCCCTCCTCACCCAGCAAATTCAACTGGCTCGCACCTATCAAGGGCGGGCGCTGGGAGAAAAGTGAAATATCAGCCGGCCCTGGAAGTCAGGACAAGGAGATTCTCCAAATTTCCGGACCCACAAGTACGACAGGCAACCGAAAGACCCATGAAAACCCAGCGGAGTGCTCTGGGCCGAGGAAATTACTGCCACCGGAAGTCACGTGGTACAGCCCCGCCCCAATTCCCTATCTCGGCAGTCGACTATTCAGTCTTGCAGGCGCCTCTGGCGGGCTCCGCTGAAATCCACTCTTTCGGTGCTTGACTCGCTCGTGCTGCTGCGGCCGCCGAAGGAGGGGCAAAGCTCAAGATGGCGGACAAAACGCCAGGCGGATCTCAGAAGGCCAGTTCGAAGGTAATTTCTTAGAGGACTTCCATAAGTCAGGGAGTTTATCACTGTCATCTGGGGCCTACAGACGCTTCTGGCCAGCGGGAGGAGATCGGGGTGGGATTCCATGTTCTGGTCACGACTGTAGGCCTGGGCCCCGACGCACTGTGGTGCGCAGGTTGAGAGGCCTGGTGTCTCCCCATAGTCCCAGCCTGGATTCGGCTCGAGACTGGCGGGCCCAGGGTGGGTGGCGTGAGTAGTTCGGCCTACCTTTGGCATTGGAGTGAAGTCAGGGATTTAGATTGAGGTTTGAAGCCGTGAAAACGCGCCCCTGTATTCCTGTTGATCTCTTGAGGCCGCCGGACAGCACCTGGGAGAGGCGGGAATCGCTTCCCGGTGCTTGTTTGCCTCTCTTTCTTTGATTCTTTAGTTTTAGATCTCACACGCTTCCAGTCTCCCTCAGTTTCCCTCTTGCCCTCCAGGGAATAAATAACATCTAGGGCTGCAAGTTGTGAGGGGAGGACCAATGGTGGAGGGACGCGGGGTGGGAAGTGCAGAGGCGGGAGCAGCTCTCCTTTGCAGAGCTGCATCGCCAAGGTTAATGCTACGCTCTACACGTGGTCTTATCTCACTTAAGAGGAAGTATAAAATGAGCACTTTTTTTTGAGGGTGCGTTTTCAAGGACTCGGGGTCTCCTTCATCTCCATGTTGTGTGTTCCACCGAAAAGAGAATTTCCAAAGACTTGGCAGCCACTCAAGATTGTTAAATAGATTCTGAGCTAACAGGGTACCGTGTGTAACTATTGTGAAACCATTGAGCTGTAGAAGTAGTTTAACAGTAGTTAGGTGGTGGTTAGCATCAGGTCTTTGTTGCCATCTTGGGCCGGTCATTTAATCATTTTTTACTTTTGAGTTTCTCGAACACGATATTAAAAGTAATAGGTACTGCCCAAAGTAGTTATTAAGCTTTTTGATGCTAATGCAAGAAGCTGTGAAACACTTAAAAGTTCCAGGGACTGTTACATCTTGCGGAGCGTGTACGATTATAAATCGGTTATTAGGAAGTTAAGTTTACGGTGGACTGGGAGAGCCCTGCGTTTAGTTTGTTCTGAGAAACAACCCATTTTGTACTTGCTTTATCAGTGTCAGATCATAATCTTTATGACATTTTGTGAATGATATTCATAGTTTGTAATTAGTAATGTCTTTACCCCTCATCCTTTAATTTTGTAGAAACTATGGTAGAGGGCCAGTTTTGTCTGTTTTACATTCTACTTTTACTCCTTGTTAGTTTCTTCACTCCCCAGTACGTTTCACGTCGGTGTGGAGCGGAATAGTTGGGTACATCACTCAGGCCACTTCCTCAACAGATTCACAAAAACAGCCCTGCTTGCTGCTGTTAGGGAGCTATTGCTAAAGCTACTACACCCATAATAATTCGCGTATAAGCTTCACAATTTTAGTTTCTTTCAAAGTAATATTTTAAAAGTATCTCCTACTTGACGCCTTGGATACATTGAAAATATTTTAATGTATATGTTCAGGCTTCCTTCTAAAATATATTTCTTATGGTTGTGTGTGGCTGTTCCTATAAGTAAATTGTTGGATCTTCCAGTAATCTTTTCAGTTTATATATTGCTTTAGATTATCATGAGTTCATGCTATTAAGAGATTCCTTGCTGATGTCTGTAAAAGGAGAGTATCTCAGGACTCCAGTGATAATTGATGTGATTTTCTTCATTAATATGGGGGACTGCATGATGCAGTTAAAGATTATGGATTTTGATAACAAGCAAAAGACATTTGGATTCAAATCCTGAATTGGTAATTGCTTATATTTGTGATAATAAGGCAAATTGCTTAAACTCTCGAGCTTCAGTTTTCTCATTTGTAATATGGATGTAATCTCTTTTCTTTACAGGATTGATGTAAGGATTAAATTAATTAATGTTTATAAAGTACATAATAAATCTTAGTTCCTTTTTCCCTCTCCTTTTTCTTCCTAGAGGAATTAAAAAGTACTTACTTTTCAAAATGTTGGATAATTCAAATCCTAAGGTTTAGAATCTGAGTTGTCAGCTATCTTATAATGACTGCCCACATTGCTGCTTTCTATTTCTCACACAAGTCCAGACTTTATTGGAGAGAGTATCAGATCTTTTTGGCTAATACTACAGTATTTGGAATTTCTAGCCTTTGATCTCTGTGGTTTGATTTTCTTTCCTCTGGGAGATCAGATGAGTGACCCATTTTGCAATACAGATGGAATGAACAGATTCTTTTGTTTCTTGCTCATTCTTTGGTAGTTAAATTCCCATTGATATAGGTTGGGATGCTTGTTAATCATATTTCTACACATTGAGGAAAAAATGTTAATTTAAAAATGTACAAGGGAATGTAATGTACAGCATGGTGACTATAGTTAATAATACTGTATTGCATATTTGAAAATTGCTATGAGAGTTGATCTTGAAAGCTCTCATCACAAGAAAAAAATTTCTGCATGGTGAAATATGTTAACTGGGCTTACTGTGGTGATCATTTCGTGATGTATACAAATCTAAATCATTATGTTGTATACCTGAAACTAATATAATTTTGTATGTCAGTTGTACTTCAAGAAAAATAAATAAATTAAAAATAAAGCTGGGCTTCCTTGGGCATTTAGTGCTGAATTGGTTAAGGAACTGTTTTGATTGCTGATTAACAAAAGTATTTCATTTCTAAGAAATAAGTAAAATGAGGATACATTCAAAGCTTGTGATCCTTAGGTATTTATTACTGCTTGTGTACATTCTTTTGATGGTACCTGAAGATATGTAAGATTTAAATATGGTAAAATACTCTAAATGAAACACAAATCTTGAAAATTAGGTTCTTCATGGTTTGCTACTTTTAGTTTAGAGTGAAAGTTTGTTATGGTATGATTGTAACTTTATCTGAAAATATAAGTGGATAGTTTTATGGGTGGATGGAGAGTGAAATTATGAACTTCTGTTTTCTTGATTGGTACTCTTTTAGAAACTTGAGTATTTGCAGCAGTGGTTCTTGAATATGACTCTTGATATGGTTTTTAAAAATTCCCATCTTATTAGATTGATTGTTTTCTGAAAGTCCAGTTTTTATTTTTTGATTTTATTCCTGAAGCTTTTTTCTTCCTGGAAACTAAACCTATGGAACATTCTCATTTGCCTTAGTGGCATATGAAAGAAGGGTTCATTTGGTGTGCAAGTTGAAGGCTGCTGCCTCTCTACTACTTTTTCACAAAGATCATCATTTTTTTTAAATAATAAAAACTTGGCTACAGGATATTAAACTTGAAAATATTAATATTACAAATAACTTGCCTCTTATACTGTTTTTAAGTAGTTTTAATATTTTATTGCAAACCAGCCATGTGTTAGATATTGTGCTGAAATAAATTTTCAAAAAGCAAAATGCATTTGCCAGTAGTACTCAGGGCTATTTGGTACTATTAGCTGTCTCTTCAGGAGTTAAATTTTTTCACTAGACTTTCTTTAGTTTAGATTAACTACAGGATATTCAAAATGTACTTACAACTTTTCATGTATTGGTAGTGTTTGGAATGTAACTTTCAAGATCATTTCAGGTTTTTTTTTTAACTTTATCTTACATAGTACATGGCTTAGTGTTCTATAGCGTTTTTTTCGAGAGGTGGCCCTTGGTTTGCTTTGGAGAGTGGTATTAAGGTAGGTAGCTGCTACTTGTTAGTGTGTGGACAGCAAAGTATGTTGACAGTGGAGTGTAACTTAATTTTGTTGGGTAGGTACTTGTTCCAGTAGGTTAAGTCAACAAGTATATTGAGGCTCCGTCACTTGGCAGATCTTGTGCTTGACTTTGAGGAAGAAAACATTAAATGAGACTATACAAACTGGGCAGTGTGCTGTCTAGTGAAGAAAAGTCAACACATAATAGTACAAAGTAGAGGTATCTAAAAGTTTAGAAAGAAGTGACAGCTGGTTAAATGGAGGGTGGGAAGGAGAAGGCTTAAAGAATAGAGGAATTTGAGTTCTTCTGAACAATGAGCAGAGGTTTGAAGGATAGAGATAGGGATATAAAAAGAGATTTTTAAAGAAAAATAAATCTGGGAAATGGATTGGTAAGTGAACTCGTTTAGTCAGTGCATAGAGCACTGCCATAGGGAATAAAAGTTGCTGAGATGGAAAGATAAGTTTGAGATAAATTGTGGAGATTTTGAATGCTACGGAGTAAAATTAGCTGTGGAAAATTTGAGGCAGGAAAATCCTTTAGGAAAGAATTCTTGGGGCACACTTTAGGAAGAATTTGGGAGTGAGGAGGACCAGTTGGAAGATTATTGCAGTGCTCCTGATAAATATTGAGGATTGTTGCAGAAATCTCACCTCAGATCTTCTTTGGGAAGCTTTCTTAACTTCCCCACTCCCAATAAGATTTGCCTGCCCCCTCTGCTCTAGTGGCCATTGTTTTACTTGACTCTTTTATTAGCTTTATTTTACTTTATATCTTATATCTCTGAGGTAAGGCATAGTACCAGTAAATGGTTGAATTAAGGGAAGATCTGGACCACCATTGTGTCTTTAGAAAGGAAGAGTCCCCATTGAAGAGCTGTGATTAGAGGCGGGATGAGCAGAATTTGACTCATGTGGTTATGAGGGGATAAAGGAGTCCAGGATGATCCTGTTATAATGCTTGTTGCTGGCTAACACTTACTGAGCAGTTATTATTTGCTAGACACTGTTCTAAGTGCTTTACCTGTTTTTGCCTTTCAAAATAATCGTACGAGGCAGGGTGCTATTCAGCTTTACAGAGGAAAGGAGCTAGGGCCAAGGTTACAAAACTGTTAAGTCCTAAAACCAGGAAGTCTGATTCCAGAATCTGTGCTCTTAAAACATTTTACTACTTCCATATTATGAGTGATTGAGAGATACAATCCATTGTCAGAAATAAGGTCAATAGGAGAAACTAGTTTGGAAGGAATTTTAAATATATTGAGTTTGAGGAGCTTGCAGACATTCGGATGAAGATGTCCAGGAGGTAGTTTGAGAACAGAATGGAGCCCAGGAGAGGGACTAAGGTTGAAAATAAAGAATTAGAAGTCATCTCAGTACAATAAGGTGTTGATACGCTTCCTATGGGAGAGATTGTTAAACTTGTGGAGATGTAAGCTGATGCTTTAGAGGACAAGAGGAGAAAGACATTTTAGGAGTCAGTAATGGGAAGGGAAAGCTGATGACACAAAATGGTGGTGTTGGAGGAATGAATGTTCCTGTGGCCAGGTTGCTAACTTGAGAAAAGTTTTTATTCTCAGCCACCAACATATAGGGCCATAGTGTAGTTGGCTTAGCCTTTATCTCCTTAACAGTCATAAGAATGATCCTTTTTTCTTTTGGATTTTCTTGCCATCCTTCACCACATCTATGCTGTCTGCTTTCTCTATCCTGAGATAAATTTGTCTTGTGTCTGCTTTTTTTTTTTTAAAGATTTTATTTATTTATTTGAGAGAGAGAGTGAGAGAGAGAGCACATGAGAGGGGGGAGGGTCAGAGGGAGAAGCAGACTCCCTGTTGAGCAGGGAGCCCGATGGGGGACTCGATCCTGGGACTCCGGGATCATGACCTGAGCTGAAGGAAGTCGCTTAACAAACTGAGCCACCCAGGCGCCCAGTTGTGTCTGCTTCTTTATTGTCTTAAGCTTCCTTTAATTCTGTCCACTCATTTTGCTTTTTGGTGTTTTCATATAGATGAAGAATTGTGCTCTAGACTTCAGAAGATCTGTAAGCATCATTAATTTGTTGTTCTTCAGTTAAAAAAACCATAAAAACCAAACCTAAGACAAATAATACAGTCAGGTCTAGGTTAGGAAGAGGGAGAGGTTCAGCTTCTGAAGTAGCATTACATTTACTGTTTACTTGGACCACTAGCTTTAGAAGTTGGTTATTTAAAAAATCTTATTACTACTGTTTGTGTCTCTCAAGCTTAAAGAAGTTCCGTTCTGAACACTGTGTAGTTATAGCTGCACATCGGTGGAATATGTCTGGTTTGCAGTAGATGTAACCAGTGCCATCTTATCTTAGGTTAATTGAAATCAGCTGATGCACCTTCGTAAGCTGTTGCTGTTATTTTTAAATCCTAGAAATGATGATTTGGATTTGGTGGCATAGAAGATTAAAGAAAAAAAGGGTAGCACTGTCTTAGCTGCTCTTGCATGCTTATTCTTCTGGGTGAACTTTCGAATTATTTTTGGCAACCCCTGTGCCCCCTTGCAAAGATTTTCCTTTGGGGTATAGAGCTGTTGAATGAAATTGCACTAAATATGTAAATAAATTTGGGTATAATTGACATTGTCTTAATAATGGGTTTTCCAATCCAGGCATATGATGAGTCTTTTCAAAAGGTGACTTGAATAACTGAATCCTTCTGTAAAGTTTGTGTTTTCTTCACCTGGGTTGTGTACATTTCTGTTGTTGGCTTCTAGATGTTTTATACTTCTTGTGACTATTGTAAATAGGATATCATTTTTGCTACCTAACAGGTTAATACTAGTATATTGGCAAGCAGTTGATTTTTTTTTTCTTTCAATCTGTTCAGCGTCTTGACTGAATTTTTTTTTTGTTTTCTAAGAGTAGTTATTTTCTTGGATTTTCTCATTTCTTAGTGTGTGCAAATGGGCACATTTCAAACTGTGTCTCAGAGTGTGTTTCAGGGAATTAAATATTAAAAAATGTCTTCTTCCATACCATCTTACCTTTTAAGAAAGGTTAGATGGGAGAAGAAAGTGAATGAGGAAGGACACAGTAAAAGTTGGAGATAGAAAAGGATGGCTAGAAAGAATAGTGATGGAAGGTATCTCAGTGCTTAGCTGTCTTGAGCTTATTTTGCTTAGGGCCCAGTATGGTGGAGTTCAGAGGAACAAATCGATTCAGTGCGAAAATCTGACCAGCTGTTCTTAGCCTTAAGTTTAGAGAAGGTAAGTAAAGCAATACTGTGTAGACTTACATGAGTTTTACTGTATTTGCTCTTTTATATATCTTACAAATCCTTAAAAATTAATATAATGTCTTGTGCATTTTATTTGAAATCTAGAACTCGGAGCTAGGGTCAGATATTTGTGGTGTTAAGATTCTTGGTTTCACTTTTTAACATTTGACTGCACATAAAAATAAGTAAAATCTCACTACCCAATACCTTGCAAAATAAAAACAGCTCAATGACAGAGTTAAATTCTGGGACTCCCAAGTAAAAATTTCAGACATACCACATGTTAATTTAGTTAATAGTCTTGTAGCTTGGCTTCTTTGTCTGCATAGTTAAAAAACAAAATATTGTATGCCATATGTAATTTGATCTGTAGATAATTAAGAAAAAATAAGATGAAATTTTAACAGTTGACATTGTTGGGAAGTGCCATTATTTGAAGACTGAACTTTTTCTGTGCAACTGTCAGCAGTAGTGGCATGCTGAATTAGAAGCAGCCTCCTTTAAAACAAGTTGTAAATGGTGGCCAGCAGTGGATTTGATAAAAGCATTTTCTTTTTTTTGAACTCTTTCTGCAGCAGCATTTGATCTTTTACATTAAGGGTTATGTGTGGATTTTCTTGTTACTAGAATCTGCTTCTTATATGACTGGGTAGTTGGAGGAAGGAGGGGAAGTTTCTTTGCTGTATAGCAAGAAGTTGCTGCTTTGTCACTGTTGTGGCAGTAAACAGTGTATCTTATGACTTGGGAAGAGCTTTTGCAGGAAAATGCTGTTGTAAAAATAGTGGTTAGGTTTCCAGTCTACAGTTTAAAAAGTTTATGCTTCAAATATATCCTACTCTCATTTGTATCATATTTTGGCACATATGCATTCTGAATTTTAAAGAATTGACTTGCACATTTATTTTGGATCACAATCTTTTTGTAAGTCCTAGATTTCCTTTGGTTTTATTAGCTAAGGGGAAATTGCTACAAGTTTGGGAAGATTAAGTCTGTATAACTTGAGACATACTTGTTTTGTTAGCATAATACATTTTTAGATCATTTAAATATTGACTTTTTAATAATTGCAGACCAGATCATCAGATGTTCATTCATCTGGATCTTCAGATGCACATGTGAGTATAAAAGGCAATCTGTCTTTTTTCTTTCTTTTTTTTTTTTTTTAAAGCATTTATTTATTTAAGTAATCTCTATACCCAACGTGGGGCTCCAACTCATGTCCTCCCAGATCAGGAGGTGCATGCTCCACAGACTGAGCCAGCCAGGCAACTCTCGTCTTTGTATTTTTTTTTTTAATATTTTATTTATTTATTTGACAGATAGCGAGAGCAGGAACACAAGCAGTGGGAGTGGGAGAGGGAGAAGCAGGCTTCCTGCCAAGCAGGGAGCCCGATGGGGGACTCGATCCCAGGACCCTGGGATCATGACCTGAGCCGAAGGCAGACGCTTAACAACTGAGCCACTCAGGCGCCCTCGTCTTTTTTAACATTTAATTTTTCTCTGTATCCCTGTATTTATGATTTTACTTGATAAATACTATTGTATTGTATGTCTATTTTCTGTAATGTTTTTGCTAGATGCGCTTTTTTGTGTGTGTGTTCTATTTGTATAAGTTGGCCCCCTCAGACCATATTAGAAACCAAGTATGTGTGTATCTTTATTTTTTTATTGTGCTTATAAAGTTCTGTACATATACAAATGTGTATACTTGTACAGTGACTATGATTTGCATTATACACACTCATTATTTTTTCACTGCACGATATACCTGTTGGAAATCCCTGCAAGTCAGCAGTTAGAGCTCTAATATAGTCTTTCTGCTGCCGTTGTAATATCCCATAGGGGAAAGTACACATGATTTTTAAAGCTATTTCTCTGTTGATGGGCATATACTTGTAGTTTAAAGCTTTTTGACATTTTGAATAATTCTTCAATAAACATTACATGTTATTATAGCAGTGCTCAAAGTATGGTTTTCAGACCCTTGGGGGTTACTGAGAATTTTTCACGGATTTTGTGAGTTCAGCTATTTTATAATAAGACAAAGACATTTGCCTTTTTCATCATGTTGACATTTGCAAAGGCAATTGATGGGTAAACTGTTGGCATCTAATATGAATCAAGCTAGTGTTGTCAAAATGTATTAGTAGTCATTGTATTCTTCCTTACTTGGCACAGTAAGGTAAAGAAATGCTAGTTTCACTTAAGAATGTTCTTGAAGAAGCAGTGAAAATTATTAATATTAAATTTTGTCCTGTGTATGGGTCTTTTTAATGTTTTGTATGATGAAATGGGAAAAACATGTAAGGCACTACCTCTTCTCAAAGTATGTTTATCTTGAGGAAAGGTACTTGATGGATTATTTAAGTTGAGAAATGAAAACTGGCTCCTTTTTTTTTTTTTTTAAAAGATTTTATTTATTTGCCAGAGAGAGAGGGAGAGTACACGCAAGGGGAGTGGCAGGCAGAGGGAGAAGCAGGCTCTCCCTGAGATCATGACCTGAGCCGAAGGCAGACGCTTAACCATTTGAGCCACCCAGGCGCCCCAAACTGGCTCGTTTTTTGATGGAATACCGTTTTTACTTGAAGGAACAACTGACAAACTGTGGTTAATCAGACTTGGATGTTTGGCAGATAGAAGGAAACAGACCTGTTACTTCAAAGAAAACAGTTATTTGTTGTTTTTTTTTTTTTTTTTTTTTAAGATTTTTTATTTATTTATTTGACAGAGAGAGACACAGTGAGAGAGGGAACACAAGCAGGGGGAGTGGGAAAGGGAGAAGCAGGCTTTCCCCAGAGCAGGGATCCTGATGTGGGGCTCGATCCCAGGACCCTGGGATCATGACCTGACCGAAGGCAGAGGCTTAACCACTGAGCCACCCAGGTGCCCCGAAAACAGTATTTGTTAATGATATAAAATTTGAGCTTTCAGGTACAAGTTAGAATTATTGAAAACTTTCCCTGTACCAAAGGACTTTTCTGATGAAATCATTGGTGATATTAAGGGATGAGAGTTTTGATAGTGTATAGTGAAATTTGTCACTATTTGGACATTTGGGTTGTTTGTAGTTTTAGTACTACATCTGTGATTTTAAAAAGTTGTTTTACTTTTCCTGAAGATGGATGCATCTGGACCCTCAGATAGTGACGTGCCAAGTCGGACACGACCTAAGAGCCCAAGAAAACATAATTATAGGAATGAGAGTGCCCGTGAAAGCCTTTGTGATTCTCCTCATCAGAATCTCTCGAGAGTAAGTGTTGCTAAAGATAAGAAAGGATTAATAATTTTAATCTGTCCTGGATTGAATTTGGTGGTTGAATATTTTGGTTTTATACTGGTTCTTTCATTATGTACTATTTAAAAATAGCATTTTTTAAAAAAGATTATTTATTTATTTATTTGACAGAGGGAGTCACAGTGAGAGAGGGAACACAAGCAGGGGGAATGGGAGAGGAAGAAGCAGGCTTCCTGCTGAGCAGGGAGCCCGATGGGGGGCTTGATCCCAGGACACTGGGATCATGACCTGAGCTGAAGGCAGACGCTTAGGGACTGAGTCACCCAGGTACCCCTAGCATTATTTTTTGTATCTGGGTTAATGATAAACTCAAGTTCATGTACGGAAAAAAATTTTTTTTTTAGCTTATATGTGAGATAGGATTCATTTAAAATTTAAAATTTTAATTATAAAACCAAGGAGTGTTTGGATTAAAATGTTTTGTTTTTTTAAAGATTTTATATATTTATTTGACAGACACAGCGAGAGAGGGGACACAAGCAGGGGGAGTGGGAGAGGGAGAAGCAGGCTTCCCGCGGAGCAGGGAGCCTGGTGCAGGGCTCGATCCCAGGACCTTGGGATCATGATCTGAGCTGAAGGCAGACGCTTAATGACTGAGGCACCCAGGTGCCCCTAAAGTGGTTTTTTTAAAAAAAGATTTTATTTATTTGCCAGAGAGCACGTGGGAGGGGGAGAGAGAGAGAGAGAGAGAGAGAGAGAGAGAGTACACGCAGGGGGAGTGGCAGGCAGGGGGAGAAGCAGGCTCTCTGCTGAGCAAGGAGCTTGATATGGGACTCGATTCCAGAAATCTGGGATCATGACCTGAGCTGAAGGCAGACGCTTAACCGACTGAGCCACCCAAGCATCCCTGGATATAAAATAGTTAAGGGTCAGATTTATTGTTCCTCCCTTATACCAAACATTTACTGAATCAAATACCACATGCCATTCACTGGAAATAAATAGGTGGGTAAAATGCAGTTCTTGCTCTTGGAGAGCTTACAGTCTCACCATGGGAAGTAAACAGACAGGTACTATTCACTCTAATTAGTGTGCCCAGGGCAGTATGAGAACAGAGAGGGAGCATCTTTATTATGTGTATCTGCAAAGCGTTCTCATGCTCTTTTAGTCTTTTTCTATTTTTTCTATTTCATATAATTTTTCTTGTTACTAAAGTTGGGGAATTAATAAATTAATAAAAATTAAATTTGGAAATATAGAGAAGGCAGTCATCACCAGCCAGTATTAACATTGGTAACACTTTATTTTTATTGTTTAATATTCTAAGCATAAATATATTTTTACTTTGCTGAGATCCATTTTACAGGAATACATTTTTTTTTTTTAAAGATTTTATTTATTTGAGAGAGAGAGAATGAGAGATAGAGAGCACGAGAGGGGGGAGGGTCAGAGGGAGAAGCAGACTCCCTGCTGAGCAGGGAGCCTGATGTGGGACTCGATCCCGGGACTCCAGGATCATGACCTGAGCCGAAGGCAGTCGCTTAACCAACTGAGCCACCCAGGCGCCCCAGGAATACATTTTAAAATACTCTGTTTTCAGTTCTTTTTTTTTTAATTTTAGCAAAAATTCTGTGAAACTTTAATGGATGATTATATTTCTTTGTGTAAACATTCCATAATTCCTTTAACCATTTTTTCTCTGGTGTGTAAGTTTAGCTCTTAGGATATAAATAAAATTTGAGCCCTTCTGATTTTGTTTTGTAAAATTATGTTTTTCATTGAATTTATATGTAATTTTACCATTTGTTTAAACTTTTAAAATTAAAACCAAAGATGCTGGATGATCACCATTTTTCTTTCTACTTTGGGAAAAAAATTTACTTTGAATCTATTCCTGAAACCTCATTTTGACTTTTGGGTTATAAACTTTTATTTTTTCAAGGTGATTTTAATGTAACTTTAAAATAATTTGAGCGGTATTACTCTTTTATTCTGCTTCTCAGGGGCAAGCCTATTTATAACGAGGGGATTGATAAAGTCTAATTTGTAATTGGTTAACTTCTCATTTTGGTAGGCAAGAGCGAAACCTTCGGATTTCAATTACAGATTAATAGTTTAGGTTGTATTTAATAGACATTACTCTCTTTTAAGTTTATGAATCAAAATCTAACATTTACATGAATAACTGAACAACTAAAGATCTGTAGATGATTTTACTTCTGCTGTAACCTGAAATACTATTATTATGTTCCTAAACATCAGTATTATTGTTGAAGAATGAGTTTATTTACTGAATTATAGAAGGAAGTGATGTGATTTGTAGTACCTGAAATGGAGGTTATAGATGGTATTTAGATTCCTGCCACTGAACTTTGGAAATATATGCTGCCTTCTCCCTGTTTGAATGTTTTCCCTCACTGCTTCTTTTGCTCAGAACCATCTGTACTTTTTCTCAAGTGCTTTTATTCTTGCTGCCAGCAAGTCGATTGAATGAGTTCTAAGCCTTGGCATCTCTCTCTGCTTTTTCACTTTTTTTTTTTTTAAAGAAAATGGCTTTTTTATGTTACTGACCTTGAATTAGCAAATGAAGACATTCCTTAAGGAATACTTAAATCAGAATCAAGCCCACGGTAGGCACTTGATGCTTAAAAGTAGCCTCAGCTTTTCTGCTTTATGGTGAAATTTCTTTTTAAAAGTCATCTAATCTGAAGACTTGGTTATCAGTTGAGCTGTACCAATTGAGTTAGATAGTATTAAGAATGTGTATGTAAAGGTATGCTTTTTCTTTTCATAGCCTCTTCTAGAAAACAAACTTAAAGCATTCAGTATTGGAAAAATGAGTACAGCTAAGCGAACTTTAAGTAAGAAGGAGCAAGAAGAATTAAAGAAAAAGGTAATATTTAAATTGTATTTTGAGTTATCCTTGGAAGTGTGTCTAAATAAGTGTATGGGCAGTAGGGAAATGCTTTTCAAAGATTCTTGACCGGGATATTTTCAGCTCCCACTACCAAGTCACATCTGTAACACAAGGTACATTTAGAGGTTTGTATCCCTGTTCCCGCCACTGCTTCTTCTATGTAAGATTTGGTTATTTTCTGGTCTCTTCATCTTGTATAAACAAGTGTGTATAAGTATATATTGTATTCCTCTCTCTTAAGTGATCAATAATATGCTATATACAGTGTACTTTTCTCCATCTTGCTTTTTACACTTAACATTATAGCTCAGAGATTACTGCAGGTATAATGAAATAGTCCTTGTTTTTTTTTAAAGATTTTATTTATTTATTTGACAGAGAGACACAGCGAGAGAGGGAACACAAGCAGGGGGAGTGGGAGAGGGAGAAGCAGGCTTCCCATGGAGCAGGGAGCCCGATGTGGGGCTCGATCCCAGGACCCTGGGATCATGACCTGAGCTGAAGGCAGATGTTTAATGACTGAGCCACCCAGGCGCCTGTTATTCCTTGTTTTTTTAAATAGCTGTGTAGACATACAGTAGTTATTCACTAAAATTCTGTTGAGGGCATTTTTGTTTTGGTCTTTTGCCATTGAAATGGTGCTGTTAATGGATAGTGTTATGCATATGGTTTTTTTGCTAGTTTATCTTTGGGATATATTCCTGTAAGTGAGATTACTGGGTTGAATGGTAAATGCATAAATGTAGCTCTCTTGGATATTGTCAAATTGCTTTCTATAAGGGCAGGGACATTTCACATCTCAGTAATGTATGAGAGGTTGTTTCCCTATAGTCTTGCCAGCAGAGAATGTTTTTGAAGTATTGCCAATCTGCTCAGTGAAAAATGGTATCTCAGTGTAGTTTTAAATTTGCATTTCTCTTGTAAGTAAGGTTGAAAAGCTTACTTTTTTGCTTTTACGTTTTGTGTAAAAGGTTACACAAAAGCTTTTGAGTTTGTTTCTATGAGCTGTCTGCTTATATCTAAACCAATCTTTCTAGAAATTAGTAGTGTATCTCTATTTTTTAGAAACTTCGCGTATTAAGTATATTAACACTGTCTATGACACAAGGTGCAGTGTTTTTTCCCAGTCTTCGATTGTCTTTTTATTTTGCTTCTGGTGTTTTTTCCATGCAGAAACTGTTTATTGTTATGTAATCAGATTTATCAGTCTTTCCTTATGATTTCTAGTTTTCAGTGTTTTTCTTACTCTCAGCTTATAAAGGAATTTCCTCATGTTTTTTTTTTCTTTTAAAAAGTATTTGTTTATTTGACAGAGAGAGAGACAGTGAGAGAGGGAACACAAGCAGGGGGAGTGGGAGAGGGAGAAGCAGGCTTCCCGCTGAGCAGAGAGCCTGATGTGGGGTTTGATCTCAGGACTCTGCAGTCATGACCCGAGCTGAAGGCTGACAGACACTTAACCGATTGAACCACCCAGACGTTCCTTAAATTGTTTCATTTAAAAAAAATTAAATATGATTCATTTGCAGTTTCTCCTGGTATATGATGTGAAGAATTGGTTCACTTTTGTCTTTTTTTCAAATAGTTATCCCGGCATCATTCATTGAAAAGTCGATCTATTCTCCACTGATTGGAGATGCTTTTATTGAATACTAAATTTCCAAGTGTTGCTGGATTTATTTCTCTATTTTCTATTCTGTTCCATTGGCCTTCTATGCATACATGTTTTGGGGACATTGTGAAGAGTTATAATTGAAATTGTCAAGATTCTTTGGAGCTTTTTTTCTAATGCCAGCTGTGGAGTTATTGCTGCTTCATCTTCTAATACTCATGTCTGTGGTTTGTGAAGGAAATCTTTATAATCACTGAATTAAATCATCATGCTTTGGAAACATCAAAAACAGTAATAGAATAATACATTTTGACTCTAATGTCTCTAAATTTACTTAGTGGATCCTTTTCTAGTTCCATAAATTGCCAGTAGAGGATCAAAGTCTTAGTTTCAATGTTAATTAGTATCTAATATCTACCAAAGATTAGATATTACCTGTTAGGACTGCCTAACCTGCTTTTCCTAGCGAAGAGAAAAGTTTTGTTTCCATTGTTCCTTAATGAGTTTCGCCCTATGTACAATAATATTTTTCATATGAAGTAGTATTATTTTCATGTGTCTTTAGGAAGATGAAAAGGCAGCTGCTGAGATTTATGAGGAATTTCTTGCCGCTTTTGAAGGAAGTGATGGTAATAAAGTGAAGACATTTGTGCGTGGAGGTGTTGTTAATGCAGCTAAAGGTTAGTGTGAATATTACAGTCCTTGAGCAAACCCCAGAGTCTTGGTAGAATAATTGTAGGTAATTATGAAAGATGTTTGGTGGCTTTGAATTTCACATTTCCTTTCTACCAGCACCCTCTAGTGTTGGTATTAGTTATTAATTAGCAGAATAAATGGCCAGATGTGGATTAATGATAAATTGGAGCCAAACACTTTGCAAAAAGTTTAATATGTTTCATAGTTTTACTATAAAATGACTAGTATTTTGGAGAGTAAGGTGGTAATATGAATTTAACTTCATATTTTGTCAGTAGTGATATATCTTAGTGCTAAAAGCATTTTACTAATTTATGTTTATTTTCAAATAAAAAATAATAGGAAATTAGTTTTGAAAATTAGTTTTGAAACTTACTATTTTAAATTTCAGAAGAACATGAAACAGATGAAAAAAGAGGTAAAATTTATAAGCCGTCTTCAAGATTTGCAGATCAGAAAAATCCTCCAAATCAGTCATCCAATGAAAGACCACCATCTCTTCTTGTGATAGAAACCAAAAAACCTGTAAGTCATACCCAAATAAGTGACTTTTTATGTTCAGAGATGATACTGCCAATGATATTTCACTACTTCCACTGTAAGCAGGACTTTGGTTTCTTGTTTTTAATTATTTTGGGAGTAGATGTTGAGTTTTGGTGTTTAATTTATAATAAATTAGAGTAGGACATGTAGACTGTTTTTTTATGTTCTTTGAGCAATGAACCTTTGGTGATGTTATATTCATACTATACTACAAGTAAAAAATTGACTATATTTTAGGTATAAATATAAAATAATGGGATTGTCTTTTTAAGCAATTCTGAACTGAGGTATTTAAATAATGTCAGCATGTGTAGTGGCAGTTACCTTGGAAGACTATATGTATTCCAGTAATGTATCTTTTGCCTAGAACATATTTGGAATTAATTTGGAATTAACTGTCAACTAGTGGTACTTTCTTTTAAATGTTCCCAGTGTTAGAAAATTTTTTATTTTTTGATGGGATTTTTCATGGGGGTTGGAAGATAGATGTGGGTCATGTCATTTGGAGCCACACTTGGTGAAGAGGTATGATTACACTGAACGGTGAGACTGACTTTTCTTGTGTGACTTTTAAAATAGCTCTGAAAGCAATGCAATGGAAAAAAGCAGTTTTATTGAGATGTAATTCACATACCATAAAATTTACTTTTAAAGTACACAATTAGTTTTTAAAATATATTCACAGTTACGCAACAATCACTAATCTCTAATTTCAGAACATTTTTATTACCCCAAAAAGAAACCGTACACCTATTTTTAGTCATCCCCTACCCCTGGCAACCACTAACCTACTTTTTGTCTGTTTGGATTTGCCTGTTTAGGACATTTCATGCAGATGGAATCATACAACATGTAGCCTTTTGTTTCTGGCTTCTTTACTTAGCATAATATTTCAAGGTTCATCTGTATTCCAGCGCATACTAATACTTCATTCTGTTTTATAGTTGAATAATATTCTGTTTTATGAGTATAGCACATACTGTTTATCCATCTGTTGATATTTGGGTTGTCTCCACTTTTTAGCCATTATGAGTAATGTTGCTACACATTTGTGCATAGGCTTTTTTTTTTTTTTTTAAGATTTTATTTATTTATTTGACAGATAGAGACACAGTGAGAGAGGGAACACAAGCAGGGGGAGTGGGAGAGGGAGAAACAGGCTTCCCACTGAGCAGGGAGCCCGATGTGGGACTCGATCCCGGGACCCTGGGATCATGACCTGAGCTGAAGGCAGATGCTTAACAACTGAGCCACCCACGCGCCCCTGCATAGGCTTTTTTTGTGGACTTACGCATTCAGTTCTCTCATATATACCTAGAAGTGGAATTGCTGGGTCATATGGCAACTATTTGTTTAACCTTTTGAGAAACTGCCAAAACTCTTTTCTAAATTAGCTGTACCATTTTACAGTCCCATCAGCATCATATGAGGGTTCTAATTTGTTTTTTTTTTTTTTAAGATTTTATTTATTTATTTGACAGAGACACAGCGAGAGAGGGAACGCAGGGGGAGTGGGAGAGGGAGAAGCAGGCTTCCTGCGGAGCGGGGAGCCCGATGCAGGACTCCATCCCAGGACTCTGGGATCATGACCTGAGCTGAAGGCAGACGCTTAACGACTGAGCCACCCAGGCGCCCTGAGGGTTCTAATTTTAACACGTCTTTACCAACACTTGTTAAAAAAGTTTTTTTTGTAAGATTTATTTATTTATTTATTTGACAGAGAGAAGGAGAGAGCACAAGTAGGCAGAGTGGCAGGCAGAGGGAGAGGAAGAAGCAGGCTGTCTGCTGAGCAGGGAGCCTGATTTGGGGTTCAATCCCCAGACCCTGAGATCATCACCTGAGCCGAAGGCGGCCGCTTAACCGACTGATCCACCCAGATGCCCCTAAAATTGTCTGTTTTTTAAAATTGTAGTCATCTTAGTGGGTGTGAAGTTGTACCTAATTGTGGTTTTGATTTGCACTTCCCTAATGATGTGGAGCATCTTTTTTATGTGTTTATCATCCATTTGTAGTCTTCTGTGGAGAAATGTCTTTCAGATCCTTGGCCCATTTTTTAATTGGTCTATTGTCTTTCTATTGTTAAGTTGTAAGAGTATTTTACACTTCCTGGAGTCAAGTCTCTTATCAGTTGTGTGATTTGCACATGTTTTCTCCCATTCTGAGTTGTCTTTGTCCTTTATTGATAGTGCCCTTTGAAACACAAAAGTTTTTAATGGTGATGAAGTAGAGTTTATCAGCTTTTTCTTAGGTCACTTGTGCTTTTGATGTCATATCTAAGAAGCCATTGCCTCATTCAAAATCATGAAGATTTATTCCTATGTTTTTCTCTTAGAGTTTTATAGTTTTAGTGGTTAAATTTAGGTATGTGAGTCATTTGAGTTAATTTTTGTGTGTGGTGTGAAGAGGTCCAACTTCACTTTTTCTTGCATGTGGATATTCAGTTGTTCTCGCACTATTTGTGAAAACAGAATTTTTATTTTTCCCCATTGAATTATTTTGGCACTTTTAAGAGAGGGCTTTCAAAAGCAGTTTTAAAAGAGGAGTTCCAAAGATATTACTGATTATTTCAATAGTTCATGATCCTCCTAAGGTGACTGTTTTGAAGAAGTGCGTATTTTTGGTAGTTGCTCATGGCAGTTACTTGGCAGTTCAGTTACTTTATGTTCATTAGTTTTGCTCCCTGTTGCCCTCTCAGCAGTATTCAGGCCTAAGTATCACAGGCTTTTGAAAGATAAAGTTTGTGGTTCCTTTACTTTAAGACTACTGCTTGTCATTTTCTTTAATTGCTTTAATAATCAAATTGTGAAATTCTTTTTTTTTTTTTTAAAGATTTTATTTATTTGACAGAGAGACACAGGGAGAGAGGGAACACAAGCAGGGGCAGTGAGAGAGGGAGAAGCAGGCTTCCTGCTGAGCAGGGAGCCCGATGCGGGGCTCCATCCCAGGACCCTGGGATCATGACCTGAGCCGAAGGCAGACGCTTAACGACTGAGCCACCCAGACGCCCACAAATTGTTAAATTCTTAATTCCAGAGAACAGGAAGGAAGTGTAATGAGAACAGAAGCATTCTTTTTAATTTAAATAATTAGAATATAATTGGCACCAAAATAAAAATTATTTAAAATGATCTGATTATTGAACCATTAGTTTTGTTTTACCGTGTTTTGTTTGAAGTATAACTTGTCATATCCTTCATAGCCACTGAAGAAAGGGGAGAAAGAAAAGAAAAAAAGCAATTTGGAACTCTTCAAAGAAGAATTGAAACAGTAAGTTTTATAGTGTGGAGAATGGCTGTCCATAGTATATTGAGCTGATACGTACAGATGCAGGTATGAAGAATGTAGTGTCTTGGTTATCACTAACTGCCTTACCTATGATGAGGTTGTTTTAAGTATGATAGTAATTTTTTTTTTTTAGGGTATGTTTGAAGATGATTTAGCATTTCATCCAGCATCTAGGTTGGTAGCATAATATGGATGCAATTCAATTGATTTATCTAATGTCCGGAGTCCTGTTTGCAGTGGAAACAATGTAGTCACTGAGATGGGGTGAGGAGTGAGCAGACTTAACCAAGAAAGGACAAATTCATTGGTTTTAATGTTGAATTTCCTCCTCACCTTAGAAGTGAGCTTTCTATTCTAATGCTTGCATAACATGTCAGAAATTTGCTTATGACTGTTATAGCTGAGGGACTCTCTCATCTTGGGTGTTAGTACTGGCATTTAATTACTCACAAATATTTCAAGTTATATGAACATAGTACTTGGATAAATTGTATTCTTAATAAATGTGAATGAACAACTTTTGCCTCATTATTAGTGATTATAAATATTTTCAACAGAATTCAGGAAGAGCGTGATGAGAGACATAAAACAAAAGGCAGGTTAAGCCGATTTGAGCCTCCTCAGTCAGATTCTGATGGTCAGCGTCGTTCTAGTAAGTGGCATTTATTTTAATGTTTATATTGTGATTAACTCTTCTAAAAACTAAGAATTGTTTTCTTTTTCCCCTTTTCAAGTGGATGCGCCTTCAAGAAGAAATAGATCATCTGGTGGTAATACAGTTTTTTGCTTTTTTTAATTAATAGAAATTTTTCAAACTTTGTATTATGCAGGTTATAATTTTTTTTCCCCTCTTTATCCTAGTTCTTGATGATTATGCACCTGGCTCACATGATGTAGGCGATCCAAGCACTACTAATTTATATCTTGGAAACATTAATCCACAGGTAATATTAGAAAAGTTAGATGAATGTTGGCTCATATTCTTTATAATTATGGAAGAAAATTGCTTTGTCAACAAAAAATAAAGTCAAGAATCTGAAGTAAGCAAATCTGAAGGAACCTAGAGACTATTGAAGTCTCTAAAATTATATTATAGAATTGAGCCTTACTGGTATGGGCTGAATTGTGTTGCTACAATTCTTAAGGACTTATCTCCTTTCTGTAATTTGGCTATCTGAATTTGAAATATCTTACTGTGTACTGATTTTATTTATCAAATCAGGATTTGACCAGTGGTGGACAGTGTTCTTTTGAGACTGCCCTCTTGTGCATAGCTTACTTCCTTAATGGACATCCTTTTTCTATTTTCTCTTCATGATAGCAAGTTAGTAATTTGTGAATTCTTTCCCTCACTTCAGTGTTACTTGTGTTATGAGGAATATAGTGGTAGTTATACGTAATATGCTTTTTAAAAAAATTATGTTTTTTTTTAAAGATTTTATTTGTGAGAGAGATAGTGCACAAGCAGTGGGGGAGGGGCAGAGGGAGAGGGAGAAGCAGGCTCCCCGCTGACATGTACAGCACGACATGGGACCCCATCCCAGGACTCTGGGATCATGACCTGAGCTGAAGGCAGACGCCCAACCGACTGAGCTACCCAGGCGCCCAAAATTATGTTTTGGACCTCATTGTGTATTTACCATTTTCTCTTTTTCTCTCTTCTTAATTACATTGGGTGCTGGAAAAAGAAAAAGTGATTAGATGCTTTTTTTTCTTTCATCACCAACATGTACTTTCTCCTTGCCTTAAATGTGATAATCAGAGCTGACTGAAAAATGTTGCTAAATGTCTAAACAAACCACTGCCAAAGAACAGCTTATTTTAGATGCAGGATCTCAAAAGGAGCAGCAGGGGAGATAGAGATGTGCTTTTCTTTTAGCCACCCAGCCTCTTCACCCTGACCACTTACTTGTGTTTCTGGTATGAAAAGATTTGTGAATGTCCCTTGAGGGCAAGATTGTACCTATTTAGGGTCCTAGTACTTGAATGGAAACTTGTAGCATTAATATGACTCACTGTTCATTTTGTAAAAATTTGCTCTCTGTCACAGACTTCTTCCCTCCTTTTTTCTGCATGCCAAAAAAACTCTTATGCCTTTTATATTTATTTACTTATCTATTTATACATTTTTATGCCTTTTAATAGATGAATGAAGAAATGCTTTGTCAAGAATTTGGAAGATTTGGACCATTAGCCAGTGTGAAAATTATGTGGCCTAGAACTGATGAAGAAAGAGCAAGAGAGAGAAATTGTGGCTTTGTGGCCTTTATGAATAGAAGAGATGCTGAAAGAGCTTTAAAAAATTTAAATGGTAAAGTTTTTTACTGTCTGCTATAGAATTCAGACTTTTTTTCTGGTTCTGAAAAGTATAAAAACTCTAGGGAAAAAATGGACCACAAATGGAAAGGTTAAACATGGAAATTAATTCAAATTAACAGAGATGTTTTGTTTTGAGAATTACCAGGGTGACCTTTCTTTTCTGTTTTGCAGGAAAGATGATTATGTCTTTTGAAATGAAGTTAGGTTGGGGTAAAGCTGTGCCTATTCCTCCACATCCAATATACATTCCGCCTTCTATGATGGAACATACGCTTCCCCCACCTCCATCAGGACTGCCTTTTAATGCGCAGCCTAGAGAGAGGTTAAAAAACCCTAATGCTCCAATGTTACCGCCACCTAAAAACAAGGAGGATTTTGAGAAGGTAATTTAAAAAATGTACATAGGGCCGCATCTAATTTGTAAATACTAAATCTGTGGTAGTATTTCTTTTCAATAATTTTATAGAAAATGTGTGTGTAATTCTGTTTGACAACTCTTAAATAAGTAGATGTGTTCCCTGCCTTAGCCCATGGAAACCCTGTATTGAAATACTAGGTCATATTTTTATTTGTGGCTACCATTCCTTTTTTGACCACTTAAGTTTTTTTTCTCTTTGTCCACTGTTGTATCCAGGTTTGCTTAAGTGCAGTATCTAATTTACTTTGTTCTGAGAAAGTGTTACTTTGTATTTGGTTAAGTGACTTTTCAATTAGAAAGACCTAAATAGTTAAACTGTTTGGATGGCTGCTAGCTAACTTAGTTTTCAAGATCTGAGGTATTAGAGTATTTGAGAGCATATGTGGTTTTTAAAAAAGCAGTTAACTACTCTAGTAAAGGCAAAGGGTGAGTATTTTCTTTTTATTAAACATAAAACCAACTTAATTTCAAGTTTTAAGAATTTGTTGGTTCTATTATGAAATAATTACACTTAAAATGACAGGGCTGGTTTTAAAGGCTTGGGAACAAAGTAGCAAACTGTATGGTCAGAGGCAAACAGTTAATTATTTCACAAATTAAAATCTTTATCTGATAATTCTCAGTGTAGTACCTATTTCAGTGCATTGATGTGCATTCTGGCAGGAATGTTCTGATTCTTTGCATTTGGTGAACATTTATTGTTCACTGAACACATCCATTTGCATTTATGTAATTGCTTAGTGTATAATTACTTCAAATGCAGTGATTGCCTGCAAAACTTGTGATTAGATGTGTAGTGTTTTCAATGCATTATGTATATTTTTGCTTGTTACTTGTTAACAATACTCACATATTCTATGTTTATTATCTGATGTGACTTCATATACAGACTCTGTCGCAAGCCATAGTCAAAGTGGTTATCCCAACAGAAAGGTACATGTTTTTCTTTATTATTACTGATCTAAATATAGACAATATCCCCTTCTGAATTAAAAAAAAATGGTGTTGAGGAAAAGGTAATATCTTGACTGAGCAATGGTTCCTTCCCAGTACTTTTTGGGGGGGATATGTGACTAACTTTAATATACTTTGCAATTTTATGTCATTATCTTTTTGTTTTTATTGTTACCAAAGTAGGGCATTTTATAGTTTTAGTAGTTAGAATGTATTTGATAGATTTAATCTGGAGTTGTTAGTTTAATAATATTAGACTATTGTGATGGGAAAATAGGTGTTTTAAATGTATTTTAAATTGTATATAATGTTACAATTTGACCCAATCTGTTTTTTCTTTTGGTTCCTGAATGATCTGTGTTTAACATGCAACCTTAGTTTGAGTTCTTCTTACTGAAGGGCATAGCTTTGTTTTTTCTAATTGATTAGGAATTCCTGTTATTTTCATGAACACTCAACATACTAGAAATTTTTTTTCATGGTGACAAAGGTATTTGGAATTCTTTTATTTTTCTTTCTTCCTTTTTTTTCTTTTTCAACATAATGATAAAGCAGAAGAATTCATGCTCTAGGTATGCTCTTGCTCAGTCAAGCTAAGCCTTTTCCCAAACACAGGAACACAACACTGGTTGAATAATAAATGAACACAAAAGAATACCAAATTCTCTTTGACATTGGCCTTGGTGAGCAACACCAGCTGAACTGTCTGCGGCAGCGGGGGACCAGGAAAACATCATGGGATGGATTGGGAAAGTATACAGTTTTTGACCAGACATTGGTACGATCGACTCCAATAAATGTGGTTTTATTATAACTGAGAGACAATTTTTTGGTTTTTTTTTTTTTTGTTATTGTTGCCCAGAGTAAGATAATTGCCATTTTAAAATAAAATAATGCACTTTAAAATATATCATCTTTTTGTACTACACTGTTTCATTCTGATAGAAAAGTCAGCCTTTTAAAAATGTTAAATACACCATCTTTAAGGAAAAAGTGTGATCACAATTCTTTAATAATCTTGAATTCAGCTTAGCAACAACTAATTGTCAGATTTTGATTTTAAATAATCACATGAAATATTTTAAAACTTTAAACTTTAAATTTTCTAAAAATACATTTTATCAGTTTACAAGCCTGTTTAAAACTATAGTGGGTTATTTTTCCACTGATAAAGTATTCACAGGAAAGTATTTTTGTAGCATTCAAAAAGCATATTCCAGTAGTAACTCTACATGTGGCTCAGCTTATTTCTAAACTAAATTTTGAGTATATATTTTGTTGAAAAGTCTTAACTCACCATTACAATAAATCCTTTGTTTTAAACTTGCTAAACCACTTTTCATTTATAATATTCAAGTCAAGTTGGATTTGACTTAATTCATACAAGTTTCTGGATGTATAGTATTTGTCCCCCCAGTAATTGATTTTATATCTTATGATATTTACATAAAATTTCCCTTCACTTTAATTTGACACATACCAGTGGGAATTTTGGAACTGAATCATAACTTTACATTATCTCCCTTCCCTCCAAATAATATCATTAACTATATGGATGCTGAGAATACATTGTCATTTGGATAACAAAAACTGCATATTTGCAGAATAGTTAATAGTTCTGTGAAAGAAAAATAATTTTTAGATATAAAATTAAGTGATGCTTTTGGTTTTTTGTTTTAACAATTTGAGGTGAATTAATAGTTTTAAATATATAGTTTCCCCTTTATTAAAGATTTAAACTTTCATATAATTTTTTTGACCTGGAGGAGGTCAAAAAAATTTTTTTTCACCATATAGAGATTTTAGTGTCCATTTAATAAGTAGGTTTGTTTGAAATGGGAGAAAATAATTACAGTGACCATGAGATAAATTTATTGTTTATGTACTCTGAAGCCAGGGCATTATAGAGCCAAAAAAATCTGTCTTATTCTATAACTATTTATTTATTTATATTCTAGCAATTACATGAACTTAATTTGAGCTGGGAATGCTAAAGGTGTAATTTAGTGTGTGCCTTGTACCAAGAGCCAATATCCTTTTGCTTTTCCCAATTACTATTTGCCTACTCTGTATGCTGGGGGACTGGTGAAGTGAGAAATCAAAAGCAGCTTATAATAAGCTGAGTCATTTTTACTTGATGCTGTAATTAATGTCTAAAATAGTGTTTAAATCACATGAGTTTTAGGACCTAGATTTTAAAAATAAAGGTTTTCTATGAGCCCAGCCAATAAAATGATTGTACTAAAAAAGTTACAAGGTTCTTCTTGGCTTAAATATTGGAAAGTAATTCTTATGAAAAATGGGAGAGGCATCTCACCATGTCCCTTATTTTGGAATATTTTGGAAAGAGGACTCCATTTAAGGCTTTGGCAATATAATTGCTTCATTGAGTCATAATACGCAGGCAGACTTATACATGTCATGAGTTGTGTGAACCAGTTTGACGTGTGATCCAAAGGGATGTTGCCTCATTAAAGGTCAGATTCAATAAAAACTCCATCTGCTATATGTGTACCAGAAAAACACAAGAGTTGGATGGATTTTTTATTAAATCAGGCCTTAAACTTGTTAAATAGTTTTGCATTTTTTATAAATTATAGTCATGTATATAACATTTCAATACCACCACAAAAGTGCTTGGTTTAGGAATATTTTCTTTTAAAACTGAGATAGTGTGTTAAGTTTTTAGATGGATATGATAACATGTAAGCTCTAAGTTTACTCATTTTATATATTTGCAGCTTTCCAATTAGTTGTGATTCATAATTTAATGTTTTGCATTTGGAAAATAAAATTAAGTGGCATTTAGAAAAAAATCTTTATTGCTATGAAGCTGTGTTGTGGTTTCCCACCCTCCCTTCATCTCTCCTTCCCCTCCCACTCCCCTATCCCCATTGTTCCACTCCCTCTTAATGCACAAGGCATTAACATATGCTCCAGGTTATTTTTTTGGTATAAAATTTTGTATTAGTCAGCAGAATTATCTTTCTCTGCACAATTATAGTAACTTAGGTCAAGTATAGTTTTATATAGTGGTAGGTCTGAATCCATTTTCTTTAACTGTGTTGTTGTTGTAGGAATTTGCTCGCCCTGATACATCGAATGATAGAGTTTGTTGTACGTGAAGGGCCAATGTTTGAAGCTATGATTATGAACAGAGAAATCAACAATCCTATGTTCAGGTGTGCATTTTTTTTTACTGTGGTAAAATATACATATAATAGAAAATGTACTGTTTTTGCCATTTTAACATGTACAGCTGAGTGGCATCAAGTGCATTCACATTTTTGTGCAAACCACCACCATTGTCTATCTCCAGAAATTTTCTTATCTCCCATAACTGAAATTGTACCCCTTGAACAATAACTCCCCATTCCCTGGGCCCTCCAGCCTCTGGTAGCCACCATCTACTTTCTGTCTCTTTGAATTTGTTTACTGTAGTTACCTCATATAAGTGGATTCATTCAGTACTTTGAGACTCGCTTATTTCATTTAGCATAATGTCTTCAGGGTTCGTCCATGTTGAAGCATGTGTAAGAATTTCCTTACCTTTTAAAGCTGAGTAATAGTCCATTGCGTGTACATATTTTTTTTTATCCTCAGGTGTGCATTTAAGAAATACTTTTTACTTATTTTTTGGAGCTAAAAATATTTTTTTTAATATTTTTATTTTTTTATTTTTATTTATTTATTTGAGAGAGAGAGAATGAGGGATAGAGAGCACGAGAGGGAAGAGGGTCAGAGGGAGAAGCAGACTCCCCGCTGAGCAGGGAGCCCGATGTGGGACTCGATCCCGGGACTCCAGGATCATGACCTGAGCCGAAGGCAGTCGCTTAACCAACTGAGCCACCCAGGCGCCCTGGAGCTAAAAATATTTACTAGAATAAAGTTCTATAAGTATGGGGTTATTTTTGCAATGGGATGAGAAGGCAGTTTTAGTAATTAGACGAGGATCTTGGGTCAGTTTTCTATCTGATTTTGATTTAAGTTAAGTAACATTGTTTTTAGCAGTCTCTAGGAGGAAAATACTATTTTTTTTTATGGTTTTCAGTGAGAGTCCTTCATAGTAGAATAATAGAGTGCTATAGAAAATTGCTTATCTTCTGAACAGATATGATATCTAAGACATTCATTTAACACTTCTAAGTCATTTAAAAACCACTGCTTTTGAAATTTCTATCTTGGGAAAATCCACTGCCAGATATAATATCTGACATATAAGCATTCAATAAAATTGATTGTAAGACTCAGTAAGATGCATACATACCTTCTGAGTACCAGTGTCAGTCACAAAGGCAGTGTGGGGGCTAGGCTGAGGAAGGGGATAGATGGCAGAAGGCAGTGGGTGAGGATTTTTCTTCAGGGATCTTTGCTTTTGGTTTATTTCAAATGAGATAGGCAAAAGTATTTCTCATTTGTTTAAATTTACTTGAAGACACTCCTTTGTTAAAGAACATATTTATTTTTTTGTTTGTTCGTTTTGTTTTAGGTTCTTATTTGAAAACCAGACACCAGCCCATGTTTACTATAGGTGGAAGCTTTATTCTATTCTGCAGGCAAGTGGAATCAATTACTTTGTTAATTTCGACTCTGAGGTATTTTACCTAATAACATTCTGGACATTTATTAGGGAGATTC